ATAACCGAGTGCTCTGAATAATTCAGATGAACACAGTTATTGAGTTCAGATAACCTACATTCTGGTTATGTACTTTAGTGTACTGGTAAAGTATTGAGTGAAATTAGATGTCAGCAATAAACACATTACTCAGTGAAATTTTCCTGCAATACACATAGTCAACAAAGATGTCCGGACTATTCATTATTAATCATTTCACAGCACAAATGAAATGAAAATGATACATTTACAGCAACAACAACAAAACATCTACCAAATGAATCGTTATCACAAATGAAACATGAAAAGTCGATGCTAAGTAATTTGAGAATGATAATTTGGAAATCTAAGTCTCTTTTTTGTTCAAAGTTTTGTCTCCTTTATCCAAATATATGAAATTCCAGCGACACAAAGAAAGTGAACACAGCGATTTTGGAAGGCTGACATTCACTTTGTAAATATCTGTTAAGCAGGAAAGTCTTGGCATGCTGTCCAATTATCGCACCTCTTATAAACTCATTTCTGTAACCAAGATGAATAGTTTCCCTGAGTCGTCTTGCTCATAATCCATTTTAAACTACCAGTACATACAGATGAAAATTTTGATCTTTCATGTTGCTGTAAATTTATATTCCTTAATGTCGATATTATCGCAAAGACTATTTTCCCTAGGCAGTTTAAAATCATTCAGTTTAGGTGATCAGTAGTTAGGTCAACTTTGAAATTAGGCAACTACCTGGGATATAGATTTTCGTCATACCTCACAGGATTCGGTTTGCTACTTTTATCCATGAAGGGAGCTGATTTCCGACCAAGAGTTCTCTTAGAAGTGTTTCTTTTTCCATAGCACAGAGGATATAAATATACCGGATGAGAATGACACTATGAACACTATTCATTCCACCAATCGGCACCTGTCTGTGGGAATCCGTGAGCTGCGCGTCCTACATCACCTCAGCCTTCTCAATATTCCATTATTCTATGAATCGTTCTCCCTTCCTAAAGTAGATTTTATGGCTGATTTTTTTTCCTTCACGTTCCCCAGTGGAACATAGGGCTTCAAGCTAGTGGCTTGAAGTTTTTGTAGCAGTGTTTATTTTACAGGATGGGGTTGCTAGCCACATGCACAACCTTTCCTCTTCACCAGCATTATTTCTGGCTTAGCGAGGTAAAGAAGTGCGTCGGCCGGGAATCGAACCTTGGACTATGTGCATGGTCGGCGAGCGTCCTAACCACTGTACCACCGACGCACTAGTATCCCTTTATGGTTGATCGGTGGATGCTAAATGCGTGCATCAATACATAACTGAAAGCGCATTAATTCTTAGAAATGATCGTTTTCATCTACACATTTTTTAAATCACTGACTGTTATTTTTGCCTAATCTCTAGGGGGGCTATAAAACATTTGTCAGTGATATTCCCCTGAAAAACTAGTAGGAATTTCGTCTTTCTATCTGTAGACTTTGTCGTTGTGTATTAAAGGGAAATCTTGACAGATTTTGCTTTGAATACAGAGTTCAGACTGCAATATTTAAGTTATTATCATGTCAGTATTTAAGTATAAAATAAATGGTTTTTAAGTGGAACACTAGGAAAGCGTGATTCGACATTGTTGTTTATTCAACATGTATAAGACAGATTCATACCCTGTACACACCAGATGAATCCTAATGTGTTTTGATAAGAATCAGTGGAGACTTTTCTCTGTACAGAACCACAAATATCAGCCAATCACATAACAAAGGTATGAAAATGGAATCTCAACCAATGGAGAATCGAATAAGGTGTAGATTGGCATCGTGTATTTCTAGGAAACTCAAAATGGAATTTCTACTGAACCTGTTGGTCTGATTATTTTATATTAATTTCCGCTACGTGGATAATTCTTTCTCAGATCCAATAAAACAACGCTGGTGATTAGCATGTGAACTCATTGTTCCTGTTTCTTTCCTTGTGGGTTCTAATTTTTTATTGATATTTTACATTTTTCTGCGCGTTTTCCTATCTATGAAACATTAGCCTGCTTCCTCTTCAGGCGGTTTTGCTTATAGTTCAATTATTTCAGTCACTCTAGATTTCCTTTTGTCCAAAGAGAATAAATCTTTCATTTCCTGTGAAAATATTGATGGAAACAGCCGAAAACAATCAATTAGAAGTTACGAATTCCTGACAAAAGAACAAAATATGACCAGTAGACAGACAAATTAAATTCATGAATTAAATATGGATGAATCTTGTGAACAATGACACTGGAATGAGGAAATTTCGTGGGATAATTTAAATGAGATGAGATATCTTTGCAAGATCTGAAGTGTGTGAACAAATGAAGTTATACGATGTAGTGTATAAAATTTAAAAGACTCGTTTTGGGTAATACATCAATATATGATGAGAAGTTGTTTTAGACACTCATATTTCTTAATCTACTATTCACAAATCAAATAATCACGGTCACTAAAATAAAATTAACAGAGAAACCCAATGTTTTATTATGTTATTGGGAGTTTCTTGCTGCTCTTACCTTCATACGAAACCTTTAGCACTGTATGTAAAGACGAAATCAATCTATTCAACCGGTATAATCTGAATGATTTACCACCTCTTGGATTACTTTTATTAATTCTCATCACACTACTTATTAGAATATTTAGATGTACGTCCCACGACTGTAATTTTCTTCTGGTCGGAGGATAGTTAAAATACCGTTTTAACATAAAAATCGAATCAATTCTGTTACCTCCGTCACACCGCCGCTCCATTCAAGCTGCAGAGATATATAACCACAGTCTTCAACAGGTTGTATCTGAAAAAAGTGAATTCTCTGATAATTTTTTGCTACTTAAACAACGGAAGTGATAAATTTGACAGTTAATTACTGTTTTATGCCAAGAACTCTCTTGTAGTTTAAACCAGCTGGCTGAATCATGCTGCGGCGTTGAAAAATGGTCTTCGGTTCTAGTTTTTTGTAGTAAATTGCTAATCAGGAGATACGTAATGTGCTAACCGACATGTTTCCTAGCTCTTGTCTAGCTACATAAAATGAGACTCCAAAATCTGTTTTTATTATCTGATTAGTTAATGTCCTTATAACTCTTGGGTAGCCCTGTCCAGTTAAACTCGTACTGATTTGTTTCTTCGCTTGTAAAAATGAATTGGATGGCTATAAAATTAAACGCCAAAATACTTAGGAAATTAGCAAACAACGCTTGTACTAACATTTGCCAGTCCTTAATTCTATCACGTACTTCAAATTCATTTGTATACGTATAACCTTTTTGAGATGTTTACGTTCACTCTGCTTCAGGTAAGCAAACTCATTTCAGCTGGAGAATGTATATTTCTATGAGTCAAATGTCTCCGAATTCATAATTATTCACACTTTTCAGTAGAACGCTTCTTTATAATCTTATGACATTTAAAATTTACTAATTCATTTCCAGTACTACTTTCTCATATGCTTATATGCTATTCTTTTTGCGTGTATTCAACAGCAACACTGATCATACTAACTGTAGTTACCAGTACATCTTGTAGAGACATGGTATACAAAGTTGATGTAATTTTATTAAACGAAATATTAAGTGGAAACATTTCGAGTTATTCACCACTAATTATCCCATTGCTGTCACACAAACTCCAAGACTTGCAAGCGAAAACCAACAAACTGGCTGAAGAGGCAAAGAAGACAGAACTGTAGGTGAACACAGAGAAAGCGAAGGAGATTCAGATAGCCAACGAACCGCAACAATAACAACCAGCATCAATCACCATCAACGGAAGAGATTTAACAGAGGTTACCTCCTTCACTTATCTAGGAAGCATCGTTTCAACTACAGGCGGAACAGACGAAGATGTCAAAGTCAGAATCGAAAAGGCAAGATACGCCTTCATCAACCTGAAACCAGTTTGGAAATCTTCTGCACTCAGCTTAAGAAACAAGATTCGCATTTTCAACACCAACGTGAAGTCAGTTCTTCTATGTGGGTTAGAAACTTGCACTGCGTGTCACGAAAAATACTTTCCAACACGCTGAAGACTTCCATCAACACCTGCCTTCGATCTATACTGAAGATCAAACGGCCAGAAAGAATAAGCAACAAGAAACTATGGGAACAAACCAACCAAGAACTGATTGCTCAACAAAAATATAAGAGAAAATAGAGATGGATAGGGCATATGTTGAGGAGACCATTGAATGACATCGCGGTCCAGGCCATTACTCAAATGGAACCCAAATGGGAAGCGACGAGTGAGTCGTCGGTGTGAGGGTGACATGGAGGAGATCCTGTGAGGAAGAGATGAGAGAGTTTGATGGATCGTGGACCCAGCTGAACAGGACGGCAGAAAACAAAACAAAATGGAGATGTGTTGTTGAAGCCCTATGTTCTACTCGGAACGCAAAGGAATAATAATAAAATAATAATTGTCGCATTGTAGGATTGTATACTTTTTGTGAATGCAAAGCTTAAACAGTTTTAAACATTTTTAATATCCTAAGTTTTCGACTGCAGAAACAGTCAACAGTTCTCTCGCTGTATAGTTAATATGACTACATTTAGGTGAATTTCAGACTAATTATTATTAATTTTTAACTTCCATCTGAATTTGTTACCTTCTATGTGTAAAAGTACATAAATATCCTGCATTAAATTAAGATCTCTACGAAATATGCTGGAATTAGTCAACATTTTTTTCTATTAAGTCAAAATCTTTATTCATCAGTCAGAAATTTGAAAAACGTGATTACTTCGCGCTTTCCCTATACGATTGCCTGCAGTAACCTGGCCTAATAACGTTTGAAGCTGGTCTTGATCAACCTGTATGCATACGTTTAAAAGTTTGCTGGAGAAGAATATAATGCCTTCAAGCATTCTGTTTGTTCTCAAATCACTAATGCAGAAATCTTTTAATTTAATTATGTTTATTAGTTGGCTGTTTCATACAGACCCGAACACAATTTTAAAAATTGCTTCAATAAAATTTACAAAAATAATGACAACAAAGTATAGAATGTTGTTTTCAGTAACCTTCGCGTTTAACATACGCATAATGTGTCGACTCCCAAATGCCTAATTTTCGATTGCCTCTCTCCAACATTCCAGTTAGTAAACACCCACGATAAAAATCGGTATCCATAATGTTTGTAGTTAGATATAAACAAAAATCTGGCAGTTTTTGTTGCTTTCCTGCTAAATCAGTTTTAAATTTTCCTGTTACAAACATTGTGCCCTCTAGTTTCGTAAATGTTGCATGTCCGATTGTTTCGTATCGTTTAGTTCCTCCGCTTGTTATCTGAACGGAAGGTTATAAAAAGAGCGGTAATAAATTCTAAGCCGAAATTAAACAATTCTATGATCCAAACTGTTTGTAAATAATTGTGTGTTGATAGAAAATCTGTTTGATTATTCAAGTACTTGAATAAACTGTAGCAGCCACTTAATGACCTTGAACACACAGTTCAAACAAAGAACTGCAAAAGCCCTTGAGTTTTTTGACAAATTGTAAGTTTAAGTGGTTAGACTATTATCCTCACCCTTGATCATGAACCTAACTCCCAAGCTTATTCTAAGCTTTAACCCTAATATAACTGTTATCTTCGTACTAAACATTAAAAGTAGAGAAATCAGATTGGCAAATAGCTCCTGAATTAAAATTTACTCTCTATTTACGACTAGTCACATGGTTGTTTGCTCAAGGTCATGCAATGACTGCTGCAGTTTATCTTCACCAAGAAAGAGTTTAACACTTTGAAAGTACCAAAAATTCACCTAATAACGATTTCTAACAAAATATTAGTCTGCAAACTTTAAAAGACTGTATGAAATTCAAAACTAAATGAAAGATATCTAAATTTAAGATTATCTTCTGTAAACATATCCTGTTTATTGAATAGTTAGCGAAGTCACGTCTCCCTTACTGTCTTATTTAAGACTCATCAGTCATCATCATCAGTCTCGAACTCAGTGTCGTCTCCTCCAAAAGTCATAATTTTGTCCACTAATCTACTGAATTATGATACGCAGATCTGCTTCGTTCTTTATTGATTCCATAGTCGTGTTTTTTTCCGGAGTTTGGAAGACAGTGGTTACAGAAGATTTTATTCATTTATCATTCTTTCATAAAAAATTTCAGCTGAAAGCCTTCTAATAATCTGTGACAATGCCGTCACGCGAAAAATTAATATTATCCCAAAAAACTAGATGAATCATGACATCATTTACCGGATTCCAATCTGTATCATTGAGGGTCAGTCTGAATACACCAGCACTAAGTTATGCAGGTCATAACTGCTACTCCATACTAGGAAGCATTTCAAGATTAGATTTTAACATATAACATTATATAAGGCTAGGAAAATATAAATCTCAACTCACTTGAACAACTTTGCACCAATTTCTTAAAAATCGATTAAATGTCAATAGCCACTGTGATTCTGAACTTGGATATGGCCAATTTTCACATGCTTCCAATTTGACTACCATTTTTTTCATTCCATTGCGTAGAAGATAACTGCATGATATCCCACGGCTTTCGTAATAAATAAGTTGTACCATGAAATGGTAATTTATTCCAATAGATTTCTATAGAAATATAAGTTGAGGTAGTGAAATGTTTAATAGGTAGTTCTAAAAAACTCATTTAACGAAAAGAAGTGCCTTACAAATATCCCAGCATATAGTACACTAATTGATCTGTGAATGTCGTTGAATGTTAAAGGAAAATCTATGATAAAAGCGGGGAGCAAGATATGAAGCAATATAGTGAAAGAAGCGCAAGTCCTCGTACATGGAAATACTAGCTTACTTGATAACTGTTAAGAAATGATACAAGCCAGCCAAAATATTTAACACAAGGAGCTTTGCATTATGGTTTCTTTGTTATTCAGAAGTCTTTGGCAGTACACAAGCTCTGTCTTCTGAGAAACTGAGATCCGGTCCAAGCGGGTCGACGTACAGTCACTGGGTCAGAATCCAGTATTATGGTTTCCTTTTGTGATTATTTCATGAAACCAAAGCTGATGTGAGGTTATTTTAAGGCAAAGAAGTTAGTACTGTATAATATCTGACAAAAAGACGGAGAGATGATACTTTTTTAATTTTATTCCTCTGCAGTCAGAGTGGAGCATAAAACTTCTAGATTGAATTTTGAAATTTCAGCGGCACTGGGCTTTTTTACCAGGCTTACTACCGGTTAAGGAAAACTGGTAGTTAAAGGAGGCACAGGAGTGTGTCAGTTAGGAATCGAACCCGGGGTCACGTGCATGGCTGACTAGTATTCTACCGCTGAACTACAAAAGAACAGCAACGATATTAAGCAGTTATAATAATGCTTTCGCTGGAAAATAAGAATGTTAACAATGAAATGTTACTGAATAACCACTTGCAGCTCCATACGGTTATCAGTGGGCCACACCTGTTATGCATGAGCTAGTGACACCATCTGGCTACTCCAACCTCGATAGATACGGCAGGATTCGAGCCCGTGACCCAGTGGTTAGAAGTTGAGTGCCTAAACCAGTGAGCCACAGCTCCACAAACATAGTCAGGGACATACAGGTAGCATACAACCCTCATCGAACCTTGTACACAACCTTTATGTTGCGTACTATCTCACTGCTCTCAGTAGATATGGAAACAAGTAGTCACGAGAACACCACCGGAGCATATGATAGACTAGGTATCCACTCGAAAATATAGTTGTTCTTAATGTGAAATACCTTTTTTCAAAACCACAGAATTGTCACAATATAAAGTGAGCTTTGAGGTTACTGAACTTGCAGGTCAGGAGTTGGATATTAATGCTCATGTGTTCGTTTAGGTTTTTAGTTTGATCGTGAAACTTGAATAATCATTTCTAAAAAAGTTATCATCATCAGCTTCATAAAAAGATAAACTTCGTCCTTTTTTAGAAGTGGTATGGTAGTATAACTTTGAATGATATTAGTTGCAGTCACTACATGCACGTGTATTTTTATCAACTGTCTTGTTAATATGAACTCCAGTTTTCTCGTTGTTTCTTGTATTTCAAACTGGATGTGAACGTGGCCGCCTATAGATTTTAGTTTAAAGTGATATATAATTCAAAAATGCTGGGAAGGTATTTAGTACTTGACATTCAGGTCATTTACAAATCTCTCGATTTACTTGAGTTAACCCAATTATAGACATCATTAAGTTTGAAACTCGAAACATGAAGATAGGCAAACAAAACGCTAGTAGAGAATAACACCATATTAACAGGAACAATTGTTCATTTCTGGTAAAATTTTGATTTGTTTACTGGAGAGTAGTTTTAGGTGTGAAGAAATTTTTTAGTAAACTAAGGTAATCTCCGTGATATAATTCTATTTAATCAACAACTGGTGGCTAAATGTGAAATGCAAGTTTCACCTTGCCTGTAAATACAAAATCTACCTATAAGTGAATCGAAAGTCAAATCAACTTCTGTAAGGTTTAAAAGCACAGATGATCACTCAGTCGCATTCGGGCTAATGTAGAAAAATAACGTAGTATTGTAAAATAAAACTAGGCCACAAGTTTTCATTTTAGTTAAACTTAGGAACAAAAGCCTGTTTTATCTTTATCTCGCTGTAGAACTTATTACTGATAAAAAATGCGCTAATAAGTATATACTATTCCACAGGAGACTGATAAACGATAAAGAAACAAAAAGGAAAAAGGCAGGAGTAGACTGAATTCCTAATATTGGGTTTCTATTTCTTATCAGTAATGAGTCTATTTTCAATGGTTCTTACTATAAGCTTCCGTCTGGTTTATTTATCTGGTATTCTACAAATACCTTTCACAATAATTTCTGTTCAACCTAACATCGATAACAGATTGACTATAGTAGTTAAAAACTTATACCTTAACGACTTTTACCTACAAATGTAACCCACTTCTAGCTTGGTTTTGGTTTTCTCTACAGCACTGAAGATAAAACTCGCCCTCTTTTAAGTTTGAGGTGAAAAAAATGAACCTTTATTTCTTAATTTGCTTTAATGCACTAACAACATAACTATTTCAAGTTGAGTTATCCCATTAGAAAATGACCTCGTAATCCTTGAGGCTAAATAAAATCTTTCCTCTTTCTACTCACAAGTTTATTTTTCGCTTGTAGTCTAATTTGTCGTAAGGTAATTGAATTTATGCTGAAGAACTAGAGTATATTTAAATATAAGTGAGGAGAGTAAGGTAAATTAGCAAATGAAAGAAGAGTCCTTAGAAATCACCACTTACTTATTGTACAGTAATAAAGCATAACTTCTAAAAAGTTAATTTCTACAATAACAGTTGATTCTTTGTTAATTATCTAAACTAATCGGTGAACAAGCACAAAGGCATAAATTCAAGTGAGACATTTTTAGGTGTTCCTGTTTTTCTTGATGTTATTATTGTTGTTGAAAACATTGTTTGTTCATATGGTTAGAAAAAATTCAAATCTGTAAGTACCACACATACACAAAAGAACAGAAAATACAGAATTTTACTTGGAGAACATCTTCTTTCGCTTCCAAATTCCCTCCTTTAAGGGACTAACATATAATAGTACTATCTAGATGTTTACTTTCTGCAAGCCACTAAGTTGTTCTTATAATGTTTCAACTCTTCTCATTCTGTACCAAATCGAGTATTCGAACAATTTATGAAGTTTTTGTGGCAAACATCAAAACAAAGAATTTTCTTGGAATCCTAACACATTAAGTCAAAAAGTATCTAAGATTTTAGCAACTTATTAGTGAATGTGGATAGTTTTATTTGAAGAAGGAGATTATCTGGAAAATGCGATGTATTTACGTTATACACATCGAACAATCTAATCACACATTTACTTTTTAATTCCTTCGCTTTCCAAGTGGAACAAAGGGCTTCAGGCTAGAGCTTTGAAGATTCCTTAGCAGTGGTATTTATTTTTACGGGATAGAGTTGCTAGCTTCATGCCCAATCTTACCTCTTTACCAGTCTTATCACTGGCTTAGTGAGGTAAAGGATTGCGTCGGGGATTGAACCCCGAACTATCTAAAAACTCATAGAGAATTCTCAATTTTTTCGAAGTTATGGTGGCTTCTAAACCTATCAGCTGACTTAAAAAACCCAACTTTGTCAGTTTACGTACTCTATTAAGTCAGTGAAGCGAAGTTGTCTATTTAACCAAATACTATATAGTGACTGTGAGGTTAAATGCACTGATCAATTAGGTTATCGAAATATGGGAATTAAGGTAAATCTAGAATCATGGATGTCGTTGAAATAAGTGACCCAGTAGAAATTCAGCTATTAAATACATGATTATCTACACAATCACACTATAGGATGGATCAGGTTTACAGTTTTCAAAAGTTATAAAGTTGGATAGAAAGAGAAACTGACCACCGATTCTGTGTTTAGCTAATGAATAACTAGTGGGTTCAATAAGTATAGCTTAACACCAATCCACGACACACAGAAAATCCCTGTACCAAACTAGAAATGGGTAATGACCACAATAAATAAGTTTAAAAGTCATGTATGTATGTCAAACAAAGTTCACATTTAATAATACTTGATAGCGTAAAAAAATAGCCCATACTAAAAAACTACGATTAAGCTACCGCATATAAGCTGACATTCTATAAATGTTGGTTTGATATCACTTTGGTAAAGCTGTTCACAATAAACAGCGAAACATTAATAAAAATAATACCGTTAGATTTTTATTCATTGAGAAATATGGAAAGCTTTTATTATAACTGAAAGCCATTTAATTAACCTTATGTGATTATGAGCAGTAAGTAGTTCTCCAAACTCTCTCCAGTTAATTTTACTGTATTACTGTCTGCTTGATCGAATAAATTTATCTAATTACTGCTTGTCTTTAGTAAATTGAGGATCACGCACTCCAGGGAATTACTCGTGTTGCGTCCCCCTGTCATGTGTACGTAGATATAACTATCATCAGAAAGATATTCTGATAACAGAAATAACCGAGGATGATAGAGTACAGATAAAAGACCACAACGGTCTTTGCATAAATCTAACCTCTACAATGTTTAAATCTCTTAATTTGTTTATTATTCAAATTAGATTTAAAACCTGGAATATTACAGAATGCGAAATGGCTGAACAATAAACATAAGATTACACGTTACTTGTGTCCATCACAGCTAAATATAACTTTGGGCGGTTAAAGTGTAGTTAAAACGTGATCAGTCTGTACGATATGACGTCTGTTCGAACATTTCTGACAGTCATCCATATAACTGAGTGAGATGCAGGTTATTCATTGTCTTTGTTATTATAAGAAAACAATTATCATTATTAGTTGTATTCCGACTTCATTTCTTGTGACTTATACCAGATTTTCAAAAGTATTTAACTTCACCCTTCTTTTATAGTAGTCACAGTAATTTTTCTTAGCATTCAGTGACTTAGCCACTGATAAATTAGAGGAAATACCTTTATTCACCCAGTAGTGTTATCACTTGAATACTACGTCTAAATTAGGTTGTTCTTATTATTAGTTATTCTTTTTTTCCTAAACTTCTTAAGGCATGGGTATCAAAGTTGTGGGATAA